CCTCCTTGTTTTCATCTGCTTTCCTAATTATTATTTGATTGCTCATTAGGCCCTGTGTTCGCCTTCTTCCTCTTGCATGCATCTGCTTTGTCGGTGGTGTGTGATTTTTCAGATGTGAGAGAAACAACAGTCCTCCTTTAATTACACCGCCTCGCCAAAAACATTCGTCAACACTCCTGCGAGGATGCACGAGGACAAAATAAAATAAAAAAAAACAAGCAGGATGGTGTTTCTTTCTGTTAACTTAAAGTAGAAGATTTCACAGTGAGAAACATTTTCATTAGACTAACCCCTGAATTCTGCCACTTTTTCCTTTTTTTCCCCCCCTTCGCTCTCTTTTCAGTTATAACTTCCCTCCTTCTGTCGTTCCCTCTCTGCTCCCCCGTGGCACCTTCGCTGGTGTTGAGAGATAGATAGGTTCGATACGACGTCAGGTCAGCCTTCCCTGAGAACAGGTTAGCCCTCCCAGGCCTGCTCGCCGCCCTCTCCCCGTGATAGAGTTTGTCACCTTTCTACCTCTGGAAGTCAGATCCTGTCAACTCCGGCATCCTTCAGAATCCCCGAAGTGGCTTTGGCACCCAGTGGGGCATGTGAGCTTAAAATTGATTTTTCTCCCCCCACCCCCCTCTCTGTTTTTTCTTCTCCTCCAGATCTGCCAGGTTCCCTTAAGGGAAGCGGTTGACAGCCAGTGGAAGCCGACAGCCAATCAGGAGGCGGCAGCGGTGTAAAAAGACACCTAGGGAAACTTTCCTGGAGCCGGAGGGGGGCAAAGGTTTCTGACATGTTGCAGAAGGAGCCTGGGAGGAGGAGGAGGGGATGCTGTTGCTTAGAGACCAGAGGCCCCCCCCCCCCCTTCAACCCCACCTCTTCTTCTGCGCAGCCTCCAGACTGCTCCACAAAAGTGAAATTAACTAATGCAGGGCCCCCCAATAAATCTCACTTTTAATTGTCTATATCCTTTACGAAGCATGATAAATCAAATATTCTGAAAATATTGGTTCTTCTTGGAAATAGAATGTTAATAAAAGTAAATGAAAAACAATATTATCAAATATCTTTGAGGGACTCTTCGATTTAATCACACCTACTTTTTACTCCTTTCCCCTTTTCTTCTTCCCTCATTTGTTAATTCTGTTTCCTCTTCCTGTATTTCCCTGACTGCTCCACCAGAGTGAAATTAATTGATGCACGGGCCACAAAAAATTCAATTGTAATTGTTTATCTCCAACAGAAAGTACCATTTCTTCCCCTTAAAAAGTCTTCTCCTTCAAGAATTCTTTCTTCTGCAGAGCGATGTTTGAGTTCCTCTACAATTAAATGAGAACATTTTTTTTTTTTATTAAACTGAGGGAATCTGAACTCTAAACAAAACCTCATTTCCCCCACTATTTTGTTCATCTCTGATATAAAGTTCTTTTAATTTTTCTTTCCTTCCATTGTGAAGGGAGTTAAATGTTTGCACTGAAGTCAAAGATGAGCTTCCTACAGGGACCGTGAAGTGGATCGTATCCTATCGATATCGTATTGTATCGTACCATATCAAATCGATATTTTATCAATACTGTCGGCCTGCAGGCCTCCTGACCGCTTCAACTTTAATGGGGAACATTTCTCCAAAACTCACTTCTAATTGTTTTCCCCCTAAAGAAAGAACAAACGTGTTTGCTTTAAAGCTCCTATTCATCTGCAGTTTCTTCCTGCATAAAAGATGTTTAGATCCTTTTAATCACTGAGGGATCAAACAAGCGAGAGGCATATATGTAGATTCCTTTAGCATCTCTCTGGTTGAACATATGTACTCGTGTTGATAGAAGTGCACACGTCTATTAGCAAGATTCCCTTTTATTACCAGCTGCTGACATCTGCAGGGTGTCCAGAGTCCAATCAGGGAGTCTTTGAGAGGAAAACCCTCGAGACTGAAGAGAGACAGAACCTGATCATCACGTCTCATCGAGGCTCCGGCTCTCCTGTGACCCTCCTCTCAGAGTGAAACCTCCCCATGCGCCTCCTCAGAAAACTAATTCCTGAGTACTTAAGGAAATACAAAGAGGTCAGATTGGTATCAGGAACAAATTACACCGACGGCTCAGGCACGGCGGTGTGAGTTAGACTCACTCTCCTGTGATGGAAGCTCCTTCACGAGGGGAGGAGATTATTCTAAGGTTAATATGTCCAGGCCATGATATGAGAGTTTAAACTATTGTACAATAAGACCTTTGGACGGGTCACTTCAAAGCCTTTTTGTCTGATTCATGCAGAGGTCTGAACTACATGTTCATTTGTCTGTTTTAAAAACTGGGAAGCAAAGACAAGAAGGATGAGGCTGTTCACACCTGGACATTTTAACACCGTAGTTTGTGATGGTTAATGTTTTTATAAATAATTACATGTTCATTTTTCTACAGTACTACTGTAGAATCAGTTTCGATCAATATGTTTGTGTTTAATAAAAATAATCCAATAAGAAATACAATCTAATGTATGCACATGTTTATTTTTGATATAGTTTCCATATCTTTATGGATATTTCTAATTGATTGACTTGTGTAACCTTCAGCTTAGTGTGTACAGTGTTGACGGTAAAATACAATTAGCAACAATTCACCCACAGAACTATATGTGTTGCAGAGTTTAAAGGGTTAATAAAGAGAGAAAAAATATATTTTCAGTAATAACTCATTTCCATAAAGAAGAGGGTCATAATTAAGAATACACCTGATTATTATGAGCATTCGTACAAATTGGAAGATTGAGGTTTTTAAATACGGATTTAACAATAACAATGCTGAAAACCTGCACAGATAAACCATTTATTTTAGTTTTTCTGCCTTTTTTAATGTTAAAGTTTTTTTGTTTTTCAAATTATAACTCTATAAACACGGACATTTACTAAATTAGAGTGCACACACTGAAGCTTTCATGGTGTAATAAACTGAAGGGATTTATTTTAAGACACTCTAAAGACTCTGGAGCCAAATAAAAACCTTACTTTAACAATGTCTGAATTTCTTTCTTCATATCTGGTGTATTCCTGCTGTGCTCAACCCTAAACTGAGGACATGTTTGATCTGCTTTTTAAAAATAATTTTGCTTCTTGCAAATTCACAATTACACGGCTGTTCATGTGCTGGGAAATTTTGATGACAAGTCCACTTTTGGAAACTCTTAATTAAACTTTGTCAGATTCTGACGAGGTGACAGTTTCACTCTTTTACCTCCTCTGACTTTTTGAAACACTGTATGGTCTGTGTGAGTGTGTGTGTGTTCGCTTGCTTCAAGTCTTCTGATGAAAATATGTCTCATGCCCTGAGCAGACAAACAAACTGAGACACACACACACACACACACACACACACACACACACACACTGCACCCCGGTCCTGCACATCTTCGCCTCGGAGCCACTGCAGCACCCAGGTGGCAGCGAGGAGGCGAGGCAGGAGAAGATGAAGAGCTGCAGATCTGTGCGTGTTTGACACGGCTCAATGAGCTGAGTGTGTCTGTGCGTTAACAGGAGGGAAAAAATACATGCACAGATGGATTTTCAGGGTTTGGGAGGGGGGGGGTTAAGAAGATGCAGAATCACATATCCTTCAGCCATGTCTAAGATAGGTGAAGGGGGGACTCACTGCATCCATGACATGGCTGCTTCTGTCATGTGACACACAGGTGATACAGGTGTAGCTAGTGGAAAGAGTTTCCACAGAGCATCATGGCAGAGTTCGTTTATCTATTGGCCTTTTATTGTTCTGCCATGTCATTATATTTAAACAAACTGCCTTGACATTTTTAACTCTCTTATAACATCACTGGCCAAATGAGCAGAGGTTACCAAATGTTCCACCGAGCTTCATCTCCATAGAGCGAGCTTTCGACGATGCAACGTTACAGCGACAGCTCTCATAACGCTCATCAGCTAAAGAGTTTGTGCATAAAAAAAAAAAACTGTAAGAAAGGTATTTCCTTAAACGTTTTGTATTCCTCTACTAGATATTTCACTCTGGAAGTGTCAGGGTTATGAGTAATGCTTTGTTCAAATCTCTTGTCAGGAGTTTCAGGAGAGAAGATTTAGGCAACAAGATCTTGCAGCCGGGTTATTTTGTATCAGTCTCTTTAATATCGCTTGGGAAAGTCATCTACAAACAGAAGGTTAATGTGCAACAAAAAAGGAAACTACTTAAAATAAAATACTCAAAGAAAAAGTGAACGCTGTCTTTTGACAATGCAGCTCTTTAAGTTTCACCGGAGAGAATAGAGATGCAGCTTTTACACACTGCATGAAGTTTGTAATAGATTGACAGAAAACTCTCAGAAAAGAAAAACCTTGCAGTGGATAAAGAGTTGAGAAAGTGAAAAGGAAGGCAGGTATTGTCAAACATTACTGACTCACACTCTCACACTGAACTTCAGCAATATGAGGAGAGAGTTAAATATCTGAAACTAACTGAAACTGCCGCAGAAAAACAAAATATATACACCAGAAAGAGGATTCTAGTTTCATTTGAGGGACTGAAAAGTCCCCTGAGCTGCACTGGGGTCTGAAAACGCTCACAGCCAAATGTTTTTTTTTTCTTTGCAACATGTCTGTTGAAGTAAGAGAGACCTGTTTGACCTTTTTAGCAGCTTCTCTGACCAGATTTGACTCGCTTTCCTCCACATTTTTGATGCCCTCCACCTTCTCTACCTTGAACAGAGACCTAACATGATCATCTAAGTGTCGAGCATCTTCCCCGGCCTCTATAAAAACACCATTTCTTACTTCTGTAAACACGCCTGCCCTCCCTGTTTTCCACTTTCTCTCCTGTAGATTTGTTCCAGAAGAGTGGGCTCTACCTGTTTACAGCACCAGGAGGATGCAGGTGAATTATCTCCCGCCTGCATGATTCAAGGAGCCCGTCTCTGCTGCTCAGACTTTCACAGTGTCTCAGCACCCATTAGCCTCTGCAACCCAGCCTGCCACTTCTGCATTAGCACCTCATTTCATACATTAAATGCTTTACCTTCAGGAGTGTGACAGCTGCATCGTTATCTGTCCTCTTCCTCCCTCGCTCCTGCTCTCTCACCTCGGCCTCATGTCTGCTTTTGAACGCTGTGAAAAGGCTCCAGGTCCACACTGTCGGGATTTTTGGCCTCTAAAATGAGATTGCACAAGAGTCATATTCTGATAAAAAATGATCCTTAAACCTGGAGGTTACAGTTTAACACGGCTTGCAGGTGCAGCACCTTCTTTATCCTGTTAGAGCTCAGAGTGTCTCTGTGCTGCCATCAGCAGCCGTTCTGCACAGTAATGTAATGTAATGTAATGTATGTAAAGTGAACCAATACAAGCAGTATAACAACATCTCAGTGCAAAAAAAAAGATGACAGTTTAATGTATCAGAGTGACGACATGAATATCAAATTAAAATTCTCCATGACAAACAGGTCTCACTTTCTGTTCATGACTGAAAAGATGCTTTCTTAAAATATTGCATGTTACACAAATAAAGTGCTGGATTTGATCCTACCATTTAATCCTCTGTTCAAAACAACAACCTAGCACTCAACTTCATGCTCAATTGGTTCATCATGACCCCAGGTACCAATATCTAAGTAAAAGAGGCACAGAATAGTAAAACTCCACATAACTACATTAAAAGCATTCTGTACTGTGCACTAAACAATGTGACTACAATCGCTGCACAATAAACCTTTGGCTTTTTTATGATCAATACCAGAGCTGTCTTTGGTCTCAAAAACCCATGTCTGCTCTCTTAGCTACATCAACTACTCAACAGAAACACACCAACAATTTTAAGGCTAAATTTGTGGATATATCTTGTCAGATTTTACACATTTACTTTCCTTCAAATAAAAACATTGAACTCCAGAGTGAAGCAACAACTACTTTTACATCTTGTACGACTGTTTCCCTTCAGTCTTATCGTTCCAGCAGGAACAGCTCTCCCTCCTCCCCTCTTGGGTGAGGTGAGTGGGGTGTTGGGTGAGAGGGTGAAACATGGCGTAGGAGGCACATATGTGATGATAAGCTAAACCTCGTGGGACGACGCTGAACTTGTTCGCAGCGGTACCCTTCTATCCTGCAGCCACTGATGAGCCTGATACGTTTAATTGGGGTGGTCCGTTTTCCATCATGCACCCCTCCACCACTCCTTCTTGTCATTTATACCAAAGCTATGACTGTAGGCAGGGGGGAGGAAGAGGGGAGAGGCGAAGGGGGAGAGAACAAGATCCCCCCACAAAACAGAGATAAAGAAAAAATGTAATACTTCCACATTTTCCAGTGCTCCTTTCATCATTATTCAAAAATTAGTTTTTAATGCAATGAGTAGCTCCAATCATGTTAAGGTCTGCATGATTCAGATAGTATCATAATTACAATTAGATTACATTACCGCAATCAGAGAAAGGGGGGATCGTTAAGAGAAGGAATATAAATTGCTTTAGTTTTACAAGTACTGAGCAAGCAGAAATTTGAATTAATCTCCACTTAAACATCTTCCCCCCTCACAGAACTGCAAAGCATGCTGGTTTCTTCCAGGCCATCAATACAAATTAAGGCAGAAGTATGATTTTTTTCACTCCGTCTGAGGGTCTTCACATTTGAAGTTTTTCCACTGAGCGCTTCAAACTGGAGCGGCGGCGGTTTGGGTTCAAAACTTTCTCGACCAGAGGTTGGACTTTTCCTCTGTCCGCGTGTTTGTCATGGTCGTCGTGTGAGAGTCTGACGGGCAGAAAACTGAACGTTACGTTGTTTAACAGCCATGTGCTCCACATTTCATGTACTTCATTAAAATCCTGTTTTCATTTCAAGACTTTACAAGGGTGAAATATTAAATGCCAATATTCATCGTCTTGTATGCTTGTTTCTTTGAATCCTCCAGGTATTCTCTGCAGTCCAAAATAATGTATTACAATACATTTTTATAATCACTGAGACCCAAACAGACCTGTAAATGCACATGCAAGCATACATTTGGTTGATCTTTCCCGCAGAATTGGACAGATTTTACTCCTTAGTCATGAAAATATCAGACAAAAGTAAAGCTGTGTTGTACTTGTACAAACTATTTTTGCTTTATATCTGTTTCTATTAGTTGATTTTAAACCGTCGTTGATTTTGTTGTTTTGTTATTTGAAGCCTTCTGGGCTGCTTGCTGGTTTGACATTAGCAAAAGAAATAAGATCAGGTTGAGTTATGAAAACATGTATACAGTGATGAGTCAAGTATTTCAGTCCTAAATAATTGAATTAGAAGAAGAACTACCTGAATGAAACACAGTCTCACAGTCGAGTGTTGAATAAACAGTTTTCTTGTATGAAACCAAAGGTTTCTCCTACATCTTAATGTATTCCAGCATCAAAGGTAAGAGAACAGAAGTGTAAAAAACGTCTCCTTTCACACAATTTAATCAGTATGTGTAGATGACGTTATGGGATTACTGATGCATTAACGTGTAAGCAGCCCTTTAATGTTGCAGCTGGTGGAGGTAATAAGTTAATCATGTTATGTGTGCTATGTTAAATCATAATCTGTCATATGTAGAAGTGTAAAAGGTACTTTTTCTTCCATGTGACTGCAGTCATCGAAGTGTGTGAGGCAAAAAAACATCTCTGTTCAGGTTTTTACTGGTTCACTTCAGGTCCTGTTTAAAGGGTACTTAAGGTAGTCTGGGATCTACAATACGTTGACATATTTAGAGGTATACAAGACTTGAACAGAATTTTAAAGGCAGGGTTGGTAATTTTCTCCAAAATCCAAAAGATTTTGGTTGAAATTGTCTTTAGGTCCTGCTGGAGGGAATAACTCATGTGCTCTGAAAAAGGAGCAAAGGAAATCTGTCATCTATAGCAGTTGTAAGCATCTAAAAACTTTGACCAATGTCTGCCACGAGGTACCAATCTGATGAATCCCTGTCGGTTATCCTTTGAACCATTCGATTTGACATCACGATGGGTTGCATCCTCGAGTTTCTGTATCACTGCACACTTTTTCATCAATGAAGTAATAAATGAATAAATATGTTCTGTCACTGCATCAATGCAGAATTGTCCATTGTGACGGTCGTAGAAACAGATGTTTAACACCCATACTGGATCAAAAATACTGAAATTGCCCTATGATGGAGATGTTTAAGTATTGGTTTTATGCATTAAAATATTTTATATGGGAATACTTGGATGTCTATAGCAGTTGGTGTATTGTATATATATATAATATATATACATGTATTGTATGGAGAGTCAGTGAATGACGGTCTGCACATCTCTGCAGACTCACAGCAGCAGACGGGCAGTACATGTCCGCACCGTCCTCTACGACTGAGAAAGACTCTCAAAGCTCATTTGGTCACATTGTGCCGGATTATCCCGTAGTGCAGAATACAATAAAATACAAATCAGCCAGAGACAGAAATATAAACCATCAGTGGAGCGCTGGGCGGACGATTAGGACTGAAGTTAGCAAATCCCTGATCCGCTAATGAATTAAGACTCCAGTGAAGAGCAGCGTTCCTTTCTTGATGACAGCTGACAATTTCTCTGAGCTCTCCCCTTCAGCCGCTCAAAACAACAGTTCTGCTTAATCGTCCTTAACGTATGAATGAAGAATTAAAACAAAGCACTTCTCTCTCCTGTTCCCCTCGCATTAATAACGCACATGATCGCCTTACTTATATCTGCACAACTTTTTTAACAGGCTCTGCCCATTTGCTGGATATCAATTACCTTTTTTTCCCCCCCGCTTCCTATTTATTCCCTTCTTAGGCCACGATTGGAGATTAATGTGCGCTTCTAAATTACCACACATGCTGGCCATTTATCAGCTCGGAGAACAATCCTGCAGATTCATCCCAACGCTAAGTGGCAGAATATTCATGAAATAGGGGGAAAAAGGAGTAATTTTGAACACCCTTTAATGATTAAAAAAAAGGAATTTCTCACTCTTGCTCATTTACTTTGTTCGTTTTTTTTGTCATTGTTTTCTTGTGCGGCCACTCAGAGAAGGACAGGCTTCATTGTGGAGGAAAATCCTTCTTAATTTAGCTGAAAACATGGACTTATATTTATGGGAGGAAAACAGCACGATACATTACGGCCGTACAATGTGATAACGGTGATAGCACGGCGCATTGTGCTTGTTTGTAAAGCCGTGGTGCAGAGGCCCATAATAGAGCGGCATTCAATCCCTGACTTCAGTAATGAGTTGGGTAAACAGAGCTTTCAAAATGAGTTTCTAAATCAGTGCATGGAGGCAGAGGAGAGGAGAGGGAGGAGAGAAATAAATAAAAAACACAGAGGCTGGGGGCTTTTGGTCGTCGACACCCCGGCTTTAATCAGGCATTAGGAAAAGGGAGTGAAGATGTTATGAAAATGCAGCGCTGGCCTTTGTTCGGCGTCTGTCATGGCATTGACTTCGCTGACACAATGCTACAATGCATGACGGATCAAAGTAATTAAAGTTCCAATAATTTACCTTCTTCTGTTGCGTGTCAAGTCTGCCAGACCGGCTGGCCCTTCATTGATTTCCTCACTGCTATCAGAGTGTGATCCTTAAAGACAGAGAGGCCGGCGTCTGTGTGCGTGTGTGTGTTTGAGAGAGAGTGTGTGTTTTAATAACTTGATATAATAGCAACGCTTCAGATGTTTAACCATTAATGATCACAGACAGATGACGGAGATAGAGAGACGAGCGCGTCTGAACCCTTCCCTCCTTGTCAAATCTTCGCCTCCGTTGTGTGATGTCGCCTGTCAAGCGTGCAGCATTAACTCGCAGCTCAAGAGTGGTCAAATCGGAGCTCGTCTGCTTCACCTTGTTAAACTTTGGAATCCGGGAGGAAAACTCGGCTTTATCCGCAAATCCGTGGGAGATTCAGGCGCCGGTATATGCAAGGATTGTGAAATCATTATGGGTACACAGAGGAGTAATTCTGTCTGCCGTCTAGGCCTGGGATTGATGTGTAATGCTTAGGAAAGACTCCCTGCGTTGCCGCGTGCGTTCCCCACAACAGGCGGAATAAAAACTTCCCTCACTCATGCACTCGAGGTTACTCCCCCTCCCTCGTTTCTCCCTCGACAATGTGTCATTGTCATCGTGGTTTTTGCAGCAGGTTTCTGCGGTAGGCTACGAGGT